GGGGGGGGGCCCCCCTGGAGGGCCCACGACACCCGCGAGAGCCTGACTCTGCTTTCCGGCGAAGACGCCAGCGGGAGGGCCCTCGAGGCCACCCAAATGCAAATTCGATTTATTTCTTTTAAAACTTCGGAGGAAATTAAATTCAAACTTTCCAAAACTGCAGTTCCTTTTCTCTTTTTCGCGGAGCCGCGCCGCGGGGAGGCGCTGTCTTGCGGTGAGTTGCGCTTGCGCAACTGGGCTCTTTTTCGCCATTTTGCGCGCAAAATGGTTCTTTTTTTCGCAATTAAAAGGAATTTAATGAATTTAATTCTTTTCCTCTTTTTATTTTCCTCTTTTTCCCAAAAAGACGCAGAAGAAGTCCTTCTTTCCCTCCCCGGAGGCCCCGCCTTCGCCCACTGCGAGGCCACTTCGGAGCGCCCCGGCGGCTTCGACTGCCGCGCGGGGCTCAACGGGCAGCACCTGGACAAAAGCTTCGGCACTTGGAAGACGCGGGGGCCTGGCAAGAAGAATTAAAGGAATTAAAGGAATTAAATGCAATTAAATGCAATTAAATGCAATTAAATGGACTTAAATGGACTTAATTTGATTAAATTCGATTAAATTCGATTAAATTTGATTAAATTCGATTAAATTAATTCATTTGTTTCTTTATTTCACTTTAATTCGTTTTCTTCTTTTTGTTCGCCTTCGTTTAGGCGCCGGAGAGGCCATCATTGTGCGCTTCCGCCAACTTGTGCAAATGTGAGAAATCAAATTGAGAATAATTAATTTAATTTAATTAATCAAATTAAATCAATTAATTAAATTAATTTAATTAATTAATTAATTAATTAATTAAATTAATTAATTAATTAATTAATTAAATTAATTAATTAAATTGAACTGAATTAGTTTTTATTTCTCTTGCTGCAGAACTCATTTTCGCTTCAAGCCCCTGGACGACCAGCTGCTGTGGCCCTCGAAGATAACTTTGTCTTTCACAGGTGGGCAAATGAGGCCTCATTTGCTGCTGCTGCTGCTGCTGGGTCACCAGTGGTCCACGGCGAACTGGGGCTCCAGGCACTTAATTGTTTCTCCTTTTTGGTTTTTTTGTTCAGGTAAAAGCCGAAATTTCGGAAACTTTTGTAAATGGAATGGACAGCGGGGGTTCTTTTGAATTCCTGGGGAGTGTCTGTACACCTGCGTGGCAGCAGCAGCAAGCTGCTGCTGCGGAGCGTCGGGTGCTGCTGGAGGCAAGTGTGGCGGAACTTCTTTCGAATTTGAATTTAAATGAATTAATTCTTCAAAATTAATTAAATTTAATTAAATTAATTCAGAAATGCGATCAAAATCTCGAAACTCTCCCCGAAATCTCCCCCCTCCAAGAGGGCCTCCAGTTCGTCGCCGTCTGCCCCCCCCGCTGCCTGGGGGCCCCCGGGGGCCCCGGGGGCCCCCTTTTTGGGTCTTTTGTGTTTTCCCCGTCTTCTTCTCTTTGTGCTGCTGCCATTTTCTCGGGAATCTGCAAGGCCGGCCCCCCCTCCGCAGCAGCAGCAGCAGCAGCAGCAGCAGCAGCAGCAGCAGCAGCAGGGGCGGAGGAGTGCAGCTTCCGGGTGTCCGTGGGGGGCCCCAAGAAGCAGTTTCAAAAGGGGTTTCGAAATGGTCTTGCTGCTGCTGCTGAGGGCCCCTCCGACTTTTCTTTTTCTCTTTTTAAGGCCCCCTGTGGGCCCCCAAAGGAGACAGCCGAATTTTCCCTCAACTTCCTCTTCGGCACTTCGAAGGCCCCCCAAGTAGCCTTGCTGCCCTGCTGCTGCTGCTGCTGCTGCTGCTGCTGATGCAGCTGCTGCTGCTGCTGCTTATTGCTGCTGTTGGCTGCGGCTTGTTGCAGCTTGCTGCTGATTGATGCGGCTTGCTGCAGTTTGCCGCTGCTCGCTGCTGCTTGCTGCTGATTGATGCGGCTTCGTGCTGCTTGCTGCAGCTTGCTGCTGCTTGCTGCTGCTTGCTGCTGCTTGCTGCTGCTGGCAGCACTTGGGCCTATTGGAAGTCAAAGAGGTCCATTGAAAGGCCAAAGAGTGTCTAAAGAAAGGACTTTTTAATTCACAAATTAATTTCAAAATTAAAACTTTAAATAAATAAATAAATAAATAAATAAATAAATAAATAAATAAATAAATAAATTTGAAATTAATTCCTTTATTCAATTGCTGCTTCCCACAGGGCTTTCTCGCTGACGACGGCGGAGTGCACAGCAGCAAAAACGGCGTCGAATATGGTAAGAAGAATAAATTAAATTAAATTAAATTGATTAATTAATTAATTAATTAATTAATTAATTAAATATAATTAAATAAATTAAATAAAATTAAATTAATTAAATTAAAAAGAAAATCATTTTTATTTTCCTCGTAGGGTGGCAGCGGCCTGCGGCTGTCACGAGGTCAGCAGCAGCAGCAGAAGCAGCAGCAAAAGCAGCAGAAGCAACAGAAGCAGCAGCAGCAGCAGAAGCTGCAGAAGCAGCAGAAGCAACAGAAGCAGCAGCAGCAGCAGAAGCTGCAGAAGCAGCAGAAGCAGCAGAAGCAGCAGCAGAAGCAGCAGCAGCAGCAGCACCAACCACCGGCGTCGTCTTTCCTTCACCTGCAAACGCCGACTGCAGCCCCGGAGCCGTAAGCCTCAACCTGCTGCTGCGCTGCTGCTGCTGCCGTTGCTGCTGCTGCTGCTGCTGTCGCTGCTGCTGCTGCTGCTGTCGCTGCTGCTGCTGTTGCTGTTGCTGCTGCTGCTGCTGCTGCTGTCGCTGCTGCTGCTGCTGCTGTCGCTGCTGCTGCTGCTGCTGAAATGTAAATGGCGCATTTGAAGGCGCGGATTGCCTTTTAAAGATCTTCAGCCCTCAATCATTAATTTAAAAGTTTCTAAAATGTTTATCTTTATTTTTATTTTTTATTTTATTTTTAATTTTATTTTTATTTTTAATTTCTTTTCAGGAATGTCTTCCAAACTTTTGGTCTTTGAAACTTCCTTCCCCCGGGACTTACAGCGTGGAAGTGCTGCTGGGGCTTCCTTTTGAATTTGCTGCTGCTGCTGCTGCTGCTGCACCTGCTGCTGCTGCTGCAGCTCCTGCTGCTGCTGCGCTGCACTTGGAAGTCAACGGAAAGCCCCTCGTTTCCGGAGTGCTGCTGCACAAGGGAGAGGTCTATGCGGTGAGTTTTTTGCTGCTGCTGCTGCTGCTGTTGCTGCTGTTGCTGCTGCTGCTGCTGCCTGCTGCTGCTGCTGCTCCTGCAGGCTTTGCTGCTGTGCACATCCTTTTTTTATTTACTCTGCTTCTGCTGCTGCCATCGCTACTGCTGCTGCTGCTGCTGCTTTTACCTCTTTGTCTCTTTTTCTTTTATTTTTACTTTTCTTTTTAATTCCTCTTTATGTCTCCTGACTCCTCTCCTTATTCAATTTAATTTAATTTTATTCCATTTTATAAACGAATAAACAAATAAATAAACAAATAAACAAACAAGTAAACAAATAATAAATAAATAAATGAATAAATAAATAAATAAATAAATAATAAATAAATAAATAATAAAAGAACTCTACTGATTTATTTGCTGCTGCAGGCAGCAGCAAAAGTGGAGAGCCGCGAGGGTTTGCTGCTGCTGTCTTCGCTGGGCAGCAAAAATGCCTTTGAAGACCAAACTGCCATTTACAAACTTTCTGTTTCTCAGCAGCAAAACAATTAAATTAAAACAAATAAAACAAAATAAAATAAAATAAAATAAAATAAAATAAAATAAATAATTCCAAATTCATTTCCCCCCAACTTCTGGCCAGGCGGCCACTTCCCAATGCGGTGTACGTACACACCAAACACGAAGCAGCAGCAGCAGCAGCAGCAGCAGCAGCAGCAGCAGCAGCAGCAGCAGCAGCAGCAGCGCAGCAGCAGGGCAGCAGCAACAGCAGCAGCAGCAGTGTGGGGCCCCACAGGCTGTTATTACATGTCGGCGAGGAACTGCTCGTCTTTGTTTCCAAAAACTTTAAATTTATTTATTTATTAATTTTATGTTTATTTACTTATTTATTTATTTGAATAAAAGAATTTAATTAATTAATTAATTAATTAATTAATTAATTAATTACTTTTATTCAATGAATTAAAGACTTGATTAAATAAAAGCCAAACGGGTAACAGCTGACCAGAAGAAAACTCGGAAATAAAAATTAAAATTAAATCCAAATTTAAAATTAAAAATTAAATTTAAAATTAAAATTAAATTTGAAATTAAAATTCGAAATAAATTCAAAATTAAAAAAACTGAAAATAAAATCTAAAAAGTCAATTGCGTTTTGTCTCTTGCTCCGCAGCAAGAACCCGGAAAAGGGTTTAGGGCCTAAACCCTAAACCCTAAACCCTAAACCCTAAACCCTAAACCCTCGTGAACCCTCGTGGGGCGCTTCAAACTCTTGAAACTCCAGCCCCACTAAACCCTAAACCCTAGCAGCCTCCCCGAAAGTCCTCCACCCCAAACGCTATGGCCAAACCCCAAACCCTAAACCCTAAACCCTAAACCCTAAACCCTAAAAGCCCGGGGGTTTAACTTGGGCCTGGATGCAAAGTGAGCGAAAAACACTTTCTTTTTTCTGAAATAACTTTCGAGGAGAATCGAATTCTTCTATTTGCCCGTCCGCCAAAACCATCACCTGAACGCAACAAACCCTCTTTCAAATGCTGCTGCTGCTGCTGCTGCTGCTGCTGCTGTTTGTGCTGCTGCTGCTGCTGCTGCTGCTGCTGCTGTTGTTCGTGCTGCTGCTGCTGCTGCTGCTGCTACCACTGCTGCTGCAACAAACACATTTAAATAACTAATGAGTAAGTAAATAAGTAAAAAAATAAATAAATAAATAAATAAATAAATAAATAAATAAATAAATAAATAAATAAATATATAAATAAAAAGAGAATCAATTCCCACTTTTCTGCCGAGCAGCTCCCGCAGGCAAAACAGCCAATTTATTCACCACATCCAATAAATAAAATCATTTATTTGTTATTTATTTATATTATTATTTATTTATTTATTTATTTATTATTTATTTATTATTTATTTATTTATTTATTTATTTATTTATTTATTTATTTATTTATTATTTGTTTTTAATTACTTTGTCGTAGTCCACGATGGTCTCTATGCGGTGGGCGATGGTGATGACAGTGCAGTCTTTGAAGTCTTTCTTTATCGTTTGCTGCAAACAAAAAATATTTATTTATTTATTTATTTATTTATTTATTTATTTATTTATTTATTTGTTTATTTATTTATTATTTCAATTAATTCTTTTATTCTGTTTTGTTTTATTTATTTAATTAGTTCTTTTATTTCATTTTATTTCATTAATTAATAGTTTTCGTTTTATTTCATTTAAATTAGTTAATTAGTTCTTTTGTTTAATTTAAATTAATTCTTTTTATTCAAATCAAATTGCGATTAAATTAGTTCTGTTTATTTAATTAATTTAGAAGAATTTTTTTGATTTAAATTGTATTCAAATTAAAAGAATTAATTATATTTCAGTTTGCTGCAGCAAAATAAAATATATCTACCAAAACGCTCCAGCAGCAACCAGCAGCAGCAGCAAAACAGCAGCAGCAAGCAGCAGAAGCACGGCAGCAGCAGCAGCAGCAGCAAAGGAGCAGCAGCAGCAGCAGCAGCAAAGGAGCAGCAGCAGCAGCAGCAGCAGCAAAGGAGCAGCAGCAGCAGCAGCAAAGGAGCAGCAGCAGCAAAACAGCAGCAACAGAGCAGCAGCGCAGCAAACGAAGCAAAAACAAAACAAACAAATACGCACAACTAAATAAACAGAATTAAACAATTAAACAAACAAACACAATCAAATAATAAATCCAATTAAATAAATAAATAAATAAATAAATAAATAAATAAATAATTAAATAATTAATTAATTAATTAATTAATTAATTAATTAATTAAATTAATTAATTAAAATAAAGACCTGAATAAGACTGTCTGTCTTTGGGTCCACAACTGCTGTCGCCTCGTCCAGCAGCAAAATCTTTGAACGCCGCAAAAGGGCCCTTTGAACAAATAAATAAATAAATAAATAAATAAATAAATAAATAAATAAATAAATAAATAAATAAATAATTTAATTAATTAACTAATTAATTGTTTATTTGTGGGCTTTGAGGTGGTTAACACGCTGCTGCTGCTGCTGCTGCTGCTGCTGCGGCTGATGGTTCTGCACTGCTGCTGCTGCTGCTGCTGCTGCTTCTAGTGCTGCTGCTCTCACACCCCTCCTATTAATTCAACTGCTGCTGCTGCTACACTCCAACTACCACTACTGCTGCTCCCGCTGCTGCTGCTGCTGCTGCTGCTGCTGCTGCTGCTGCTGCTGCTGTACCTTGCAAGGCAAATGAGCTGCCTCTGTCCCAGAGAGAAGTTTCTGCCGCCTTCTTCGACGTGCATGTCTAGGGGGTCAATGTCTTCGACTTCGATTCCCACATAACCTGCTGCTGCTGCTGCTGCTGCTGCAGCAGCAGGACTTTCTGCTGCAGCAGCAGCAGCAGGCGCTTCGCTCTCCGCGTCGGTTTCTGAGTCTGTTGCTGCTGCTGGCAGCATCGCGACTTTGAGCTGGTCCTCGGACTCCGTTGCTGCTGCTGCTGCTGCTGCTGCTTCGTGGCCGCTCCTGCTGCTGCCCTTGCTGCTGCGCCTGCTGCTGCTGCTGCTGCTGCTGCTGCTGCCATTAATGGCATCAATGGCATTATTAAAGCTGGACTTTTTGTTGTTAATTATCATTTGCTTCAAACTTTCCGACAAATGGGCCTTTTCAACTGCTGCCCAAATCTCCTCGTCGCTGTGCTGCCCCAAAGCGTCAATATTAAACCGCAAAGAACCTTCAAACAACACCGGGTCCTAAGCAGCAGCAGCAGCAGCAGCAGCAGCAGCAGCAGCAGCAGCAGCAGCAGCAGCAGGGGCAGCACCCGATGAGTCCAACGAACTCGAGAGCACCATGAAGCACTGCAGCAGCAGCAGCAGCAGCAGCAGCAAGCAGGCGCCTACCGAGCAGCAACAAGCAGGCAGCACGCACACAGCAGCAACGCAGCAGCACCCCCCCACCTCCAGCAGCAGCAGCAGCAGCAGCAGCAGCAGCAGCAGCAGCAGCAGGCGTGCCTGGGGAATGATGGAGAAGAGGGAGCGGAGGAACCTGAGGGGCAGCAGCTGGCAGTCGACGCCGTCAACAGCAACAAAGCCTTCGCAGGGCTCCACCAGCCGCAGCAAAGTCAGCAGCAAACTGCTTTTTCCCGCCCCCGTCCGCCCCACCAGGCCCACCCTGCAGCAGCAGCAGCAGCAGCAGCAGCAGCAGCAGCAGCAGCAGCTTCCGATCGGTGGGTCTTGCTCTTGTCCGTTGTCGATCGGCGCGCTGCTGCTGCTGCAGTTGCAGCAGCAGCAGCAGCAGCAGCAGCGCAGCAACAACAGAACCGCCAGCAGTAGGAACATACCACCACTATCAGCAACACAACACCAGCAGCAGCAAAACAGCAGCAGCACCACAGCCGCAGCGCAACAGCAGCAACAAAGCAGCAGCAGCAAAACAGCAGCAGCAGCAGCAGCAGCAGCAGCAGCAGCAGCAGCAGGAGCCGGACTTTTCTCCTGGCGCGATCTTGAAGGAGATGCGTTTGATGATGAGCGGCAAGTCCGCTCGATATCGAACTGACAAATTTTTTGCTTCCAAAGATCCCCTCGAGGGCCATCCTGGGGGCAGCAGCTGTCGCCAGTTCTCTGCTGCAGTTGCTGCTGCTGCTGCTGCTGCCGTCGCAGCAGCAGCAGCAGCAGCAGCCGCCGCCGCCGCCGCCGCGGCCGCCGCCGAGTCTGCGGCGCTGCCCGCGAGCGCCTTTGCTGCTGCGGTCCCCGTCCCCTCCCCCGCCTCCCCCGCTGCTGCTGCTGCTGCTGCAGCAGCAGCAGCAGCAGCAGCAGCAGCAGCAGCGGGGGAGGCGGGCAGCAGGCGCTCCGGAGCGACTCTGTGTCTGTACTCGTTGATCTTCTCAACAGCAACTATTGCTGACTCTTGCTCGCTAGCCATTCGAACTAGCCAGTTGAGTTGCTGCGTGATGGAGAGAGCAGCAGCAACAGCAAGTCCTCCGAGTCCCGGAGAAACTGCGCCTTTTGCTGCTGCTGCAGCAGCAGCAGCAGCAGCAACGACTGCAGCGCCCAGCAGCTCCAGCCGCACCGCCAGCCAGCGGTTCACCGCCAAAGACAAGTAACTCAGCTTCGTGCTGCTGTCGGCCTTGGCGTGGGCCAGCAGCAGCTGCTGCTGCTGCTGCTGCAGCGCAGCAACAGTCTCGCGGCCCTCCAGCAGCTCCAAAAAGAAAGACAGCAGCGGCCCTTTTGCTGCTGCTTCCAGCCGCTGCAGCTGCCTGCTGGTGGGCACGAAGCTCTGCTGCACCCGCAGGTACAGCAGCAGCAGCGGCGCTGCTGCCAGCAAAAAAACTGGCAAGCAGCAAACCACCAGCAGCAAACTGCAGCAGCAAGTCACCAAAGTGCTGTAAAACGACAGCAGCGAAGTCGGCAGCTGCTCGTCCACGGTGGACATACACCGCAGCAGCCGCTGCAGCACCCGACCCACCGGCGTGCTGTCGAAGAAGCTCAGCGGCGCGCTGCGCCAAACAAACCCCACACGCCTCCTGCTGCTGCTGCTGCTGCTGCTGCTGCTGCTGCTGCTGCTGCTGCTGCTGCTGCTGCTGGGCGGGGGAGGGGGGTGGGCTCGCTAGCGAGCTCGCTGGGTGCGCGGAGGCGCAGGGCGACGGCTAGCTATGTAGCTAGCTAGACAGATCGCTGGCTAGCTAGCTAGCTGGCTGGCTAGCTGGCTGGCTAGCTGGCTGGCTAGCTGGCTAATGGTTAGTCAGGTGGGTGGCCAGCTAGCTAGTGGGTGGCTAGGCAGCTAGCTAACTGGCGAGGTGCTTAGCTAGCTAGCTGGCTAGCTAGCCACTCGACAGCTAGGTGGCCAGCTAGCTAGCTAGCTAGCCACCAGCTAGCCACCTCTATACGCAGCAGCCAGCTGGCCATCTAGCTAGCTAGCTAGCTAGCTAGCTAGCTAGCTAGCTACTAGTTGCTGAGTGCCTTGTTGAGGGAGACAAAAGAGGGGCTAAAAGCAACTCCAGGAGACTCAAGGCCGCTGCTGCTGCTGCTGCTGCTGCTGCTGTTGCTGCTACTACTATTGGTACTACTACTGCTACTACTGCTGCTGCTGCTGCTGCTGCTGCTGCTGCTTGTGGTGGAGCTCACTCAATTAGGGTTTGGACGAGGGAGTGGTGGAAGTGTCTGGCAGCAGCAACAGCAGCAGCAGCAACTCGGAGAAGACCAGCAGCAGAAAAGAGAAGATGGAGTCCGCCGAGAGCAGCAAAAAGAGAAAGAGCAGCAGCATCAGTTAGCTGCAGCTTCCTGTCGGCCCAGGCGGAGAGCAGCAGGTTGGAGAGCAGCAGCAGCACGGTGCCCAGCAGCAGCAGCAGCAGCGACAGCAGCAGCAGCAGCAAACCGCCTCCAGAACGCAAGTACTCCAAATAAACTGAAAAAGGAACTGAGCCCGAAGTCACAAACTCTTCTTCCGTCAGAGACACAAAAGGCAGGCTGCAGCACAAGCAGCAAAACTCCCAGCCCCCAACTGCGGCAGCAGCAGCAGCAGCAGCAGCAGCAGCAGCAGCAGGAGTGGTAGTGGTAGTAGCTGTTGCTGTCGCAGCTGCAGCAGAAGCAGTTGAGCAGCGGCAGCAGTGGTTGCAGCAGCAGCAGCAGGAGTAATTGTAGTTCAGTAGCAACAGCAGCAGCAGCAGAAACCGCAGCAGCAGCAGCAGCAGCAGAAACCGTAGAAGCAGCAGCAGCAGCAGCAGCAGCGGCAGTGCTGCTAGCCTAAAGCCGTCGGAGACAAAAAGCGATAAAAGAAAACAAAAAAAGAAAACCGGAAAAAGACACAAGTGAAATAAAAACGAAATAAAAAAGAAATAAAAAGGAAATAAAAAGGAAGTAAAAAGAAAGTAAAAAAAGAAATAAAAAGCAAACAAAAAGGAAATAAAAAAGAAATAAAAAAGAAATGAAAAAGAAATAAAATGAGTAAAAAAGAAATAAAAAAGAATAAAAAAGAAATAAAAAAGAATAAAAAAGAAATAAAAAAGAAAAAATGAAGACTGACGCTTCTTTGTTTTTTGCTTCTTTTTGCTTTTGCAGTTCTCTGGCTACTCCCGCTTCTGCCACTTCAAGTGTACGTACACCGCGCAGCTGCAGCTGCTGCTGCTGCTGCTGCTGCTGCTGCTGCTGCTGCTGCTGCTGCTGCTGCAGCTGCTGCAGCTGCTGCTCCTCTTCTGTCTCCTTTCTAATTGTTTCAGCAAATGCGCTGAAGGCCGGCAATGCCCATGCGTCCTGAAAACAAAACAAACAAAACAAATAAATTTAATTAATTAATTAATTCATTTATTTATTTATTTTTCTATTTTTATATTTATTATCATTTATCAATTTATTTATTTATTTATTCAATTGTGAAAAAGAAATAGAGGATTCATCTGCGGGTGAGCAGGTCTAGCTGCAGCTAGCCCAGCGGGTCCCAGGTGGCGCCTAAACCCTAAACCCTAAACCCTAAACCCTAAACCCTAAACCCTAAACCCTAAACCCTAAGCCCTTCAAATCCCTGCAAAGCCGTCTCGCTGCTAAGCGTCTAGAAGGCTGTGCAGAGTGCGCGAAGCGGCGCAGCGCCCCCCGCTGCCCAAACCCTAAAAAGTGGTTTGCGTGCGTGTGCGACGCAAACCCTAAAAAAGGGTTTACGTCGGGGCGGCCGAAGAAGAGCTGCTGGCCCCGCGCAAGGAACAGCAACTTGGAGCAGCGCGGCAGCAGCGCGAGTCTGTGAGTCGCGAAGAGAACTGTCTTCTGCTGCAGCAACTCCAAAAAGCAAAAAGAAAAAATGTGATGAGCGACGAAGGGATCGACGGCGGAGAGGCAGTCGTCCAGTACGTACACCGCGCACTGTCTGTACACCCCGCGGGCCAACGCCACTCGCTGCTTTTGACCCCCCGACAAATTAATTCCTTTCTCTCCAATTTCCGCCAAGTCTCCTCCCGCGAAACTTTCCAAGTCTCCCCTCAGTGCGCAGGCTTCCACCACCTTCCAGTACCTGCGAAACCCTCATTTAGGGTTTCCGAGATCCTTCGCGTTTGCTGCCAAAAACTGGGCTTTTTAGGGCTTAGGGAGGCGCGGTGGGGTTTGTTAGGGTTTATTCGGGTTTATTACGGTTTATTGGGGTTTATTGGGGTTTATTGGGGTTTATTGGCGTTTATTAGGGTTTATTAGGGTTTATTAGCGTTTATTAGGGTTTATTAGGGTTTATTAGGGTTTGTTAGGGTTCATTAGGGTTTATTAGGGTTTATTAGGGTTTATTAGCGTTTATTGGGGTTTATTAGGGTTTATTAGGGTTTATTAGGGTTTGTTAGGGTTTTTTAGGGTTTATTAGGGTTTATTAGGGTTTATTAGGGTTTATTAGGGTCTATTAGGGTTTATTAGGGTTTCTTAGGGTTTATTAGGGTTTATTAGGGTTTATTAGGGTTTATTCGGGTTTATTAGGGTTTATTAGGGTTTATTAGGGTTTATTAGGGTTTATTAGGGTTTATTAGGGTTTGCTGGGGTTTAGGGTTTGAGGTGGTTAATTTGTAGTACTTTTTGAGGGGGATTAAAAGTCCTTTGAGGGTTTGAGAAGTTTGTGAGGAGAATAAATAATCTTAAGAGGGTTTGCGAGACTTTGAGAGTTTCTAAGCATTTCAAAAACCCTAAAAAGGGGTTTAAGCAAAACCCTAAAGTGGTGTTTAAGCGAAACCCCAAAAGGGCACTTGAGCAAAACCCTAAAAAGGCGTTTAACAAACCCTAGGAAACCCTAAAGGGCGCTAAGGGCTAGAAGAGCGCTAGGAAAGCTTTTGGAGGCCTGAAAGGGCGTGTGCGCAAACCCTAAAAAAGGGTTTCGTAAACCCTAAACCCTAATTGCCAAACCCTCACCAGTCGTGGTCGTAGGGAAGGCCGAAAAGAATGTTTTCGCGAAGAGTGGCGTTTTGAATCCAAGGGACTTGGCTGCAGTAGGCCACAGTGCCGTCGACAAACAACTCGCTGCTGCTGCTGCTGCTGCTGCTGCTGCTGCTGCTGCTGCTGCTGCTGCTGCTGCTGTGCTGCTGCTGCCTGCTGGGGTCTTTCTGGCGAAGCGTGTTGCCCAGCAGCGACAGCAGCAAGCCGCTCTTCCCGCTGCCCGTCGGCCCCACAATCGCCACCAAGTCCCCTAAACAAATAAATAAATAAACAAATAAATAAATAAATAAATAAATAAATAAATGAATAAATAAATAAATAAATAAATAAATAAATAAATAAATGGGAAACGCCGCTGTGGTGGGAGTGTTGACTGGTTGAACGCCCGGCTGCCCACGTCGGTTTGCAGCAGCAGCAAACCAGCAGCAAACCAGCAGCAGCAGCAGCAGCAAACCAGCAGCAGCAGCAGCAGCAGCAAACCAGCAGCAGCAGCAGCAGCAGGAGGAGGCCTGCCTGGTCCGCATTTGAAGTTGACTCCCTGTAGAAGAGGAGTGCCATTAGGCCAGAAGAAGTTATACCCCCTGGCGCACTGGAGGGGGCTGGGGCCCTGCTGCTGCTGCTGCTGCTGCTGCTGCTGCTGCTGCTGCTGCTGGGGGCGCCGCAGCGCGGCGAGCCCGTCGGCCTCGGGCAGCAGCAAGAAGGCCTGGATGCGCTCGAGAGCAACAGCAGCTTCGATGGTGTTGTTTGCTGTTTGTGGCAGCACTTGGAGAGGAAACTTCAAAAGATTGAAAAGAGCCAAAGCTGTGAAAGCTGCTGCAGCATCGGGGGGCCCCCGCAGCAGCAGCAGGGCCCCGAAGGAGGCCACGGCCACGGCCACGGGGGCCCCCAGCCACTGGCAGCGGCCCCACACCTGCAGCTGCCAGTACTGCAGCAGCTGCTGCAGCTCGGCTTCCCGCTGCTGCTGGATCTTCTCCCCAAATGCTGCTTCCCAGCCATACATCTTCAGAGTCCGCATGCAGCACAGCAGCTCTCTGCTGCTGCTGCTGCGCAGGTCCCGCGCCCGCATCAGCACCCGCTGCTGCCGGCTCACCCGCCGGTTTATCCAACCTGCAGCAGCAGCAGCAGCAGCAGCAGCAGCAGCAGCAGCAGCAGCAGCGGCGGCAGCGGGGCAGCAAGCAAGCGCGATCGGCAACCAGGACCAAAGCAACGAGCAAACCCTAAACCCTAAACCCTAAACCCTAAACCCTAGACCCTCAACCGCGGCAGCTGCTCGGCTCGCTGAAGAGCCCGCAGCAGCAGCAGCAGCAGCAGCAGCAGCAGCAGCA